GTGGGAGTGGGTAGGGTGGAGGGGAGGGGAGGAGGGGGAGGGAAGGGGAGGGGGGTTAGGGGTGGGAAGGGGGTGGTTGGGGGAGGGGGTTAGAATGGGGGTGTAGGGGGAGGGGGTTAGAATGAGGGTTGGGAGAGGGTGTAGAAGGGGTTAGGGGTAGTGTAGGGAAGGGGGAGGGGGTTAGGGGTGGTGTAGGGGTAGGGTTAGAATAGGGTGTGGGAGGAAGGGGTAAGGGATGGGGGGTAGAGGAAAACTGTAATAGTGACAACATTATGATAATTTTTTGTATGATGGCGGTGATAATGATGATAATAGAAATGATAACACCATCATTAACGATGATATCAATAATTCCTGTGTGAGGTTAACGGAAGAGACTGCAGTAAAAAGATAAATCATTATGTGAGTCGTATCATAAATAGTAATATTACTTATAGTTGTGATTCTTATAAGTGCTAGAAATAGTGTTCCGAACGTGGCAATCATTATCATCATTATCATCATCATTATCATTAACATTTCCATAATCCACTTGGCTCATCATTACATTCATCCACAAAAAATATATAATTAACGGACTCCGATTCGATCTCCATAAGAAATCAATTTATCCGACGAAGAATGAATAATTTATTTGAACATATTTTTACTCTTTCATCCCCATTATCATCATATTGTTATCATGTTTCATTATCAGCATATTGTTATCATGTTTCATTATCATCATATTGTTATCATGTTCATTATCATTCATATTGTTATCATGTTTTCATTATCATCATATTGTTATCATGTTCATTATCATCATATGTTATCATGTATCATCATATTGTTATCATGTTTCATTATCATCATATTGTTATCATGTTCATTATCATCATATTGTTATCATGTTTCATTATCATCATATGTTATCATGTATTTCATCATTTATCATCATATTGTTATCATGTTTCATTATCATCATATTGTTATCATGTTTCATTATCAGCATATTGTTATCATTATCAGTATTATTCATTCCCTTATTTGCGTTCATAAATTTCCTTTACTTGTTTGCTTTCATATCATTTATTAATTAATTGTCATTCATTCATTTATAGTATTTTTAAATCTTTGATAAAGTCAATATCATTATTTATTATATTCATCATCAACAAGATGATAATAAAACGTCACAACGAAATAACAAATAAAACTATAACATCTACAGAAGTTTCCCCTCAACCCCCCCCCATGCTTTCAGATCGAGACTGTGGTCACTTTTAAGCTTCTCGACAGCCTCGGAGACCCCCAAGCGTGTGTCGTGGTTCCTGTACAGCTGATATAGGCTTCCTGACCATCAGCCGGTTTGTTCCAGTTGTGCCAGGCCCGACCCAGTGAATTTTCGTAAATACAGATGCAGAAATAAAGGCATATATGGCTATATTATCTGATAGATATCCATTTAACTATCTATTTGCCGGGTTGGTATGCGCGTCTAGACTGATAGATATGTATTTATTTGTTTATTTAGGCGTGTCAAGTATACGAATATTCTTTGGGTCGGGCATCGCATAATTCTAACATACCGGTCGTATGTCTGTGTAGATTGTGTCGCCTTCTCTCTATAATATGACACCGTTGTATAAACATGCAAATTAAGATGGCACAGATGATTTGAAATGGAAATAAAATATGAGTTTATGGGTTTTATCCAATCCCTCTGTAGATTGTGTCGGCTTTTGGATGTAATTTTTTTCTTCTATATGATATGTCACCGTTGTATAGAAATATGTAAATTAAGATGGCACAGATGATTAGAAATGGAAATAAAATATGAGTTTATGGGTTTTATCCAATCCCTCTGTAGATTGTGTCGGCTTTTGGATGATGTAATTATTTCTTCTATATGATATAACACCGTTGTATAGAAATATGTAAATTAGGATGGCACGAATGGTTAGAAATGGAAATAAGATATGAGTTTGTGTTTTTTTGTAATCCCTCCGTGAGATTCTGTTCCTTATCTTACACCTGTTCTTTATTACCACATTCTCCGTTAACACTATCACGATCATTATCTATATTTATCTGCAAAAAGAAGTGCAGGATGGAGAAAAATACAGATTAAGAGGAAGAACAGATGATTAATGACAAGTAAACCTATTCAACTTATCTTTCGGTTTCTTTCTTTTCGTTCTTTATCATTCTTTATCAGTATGAGAAGGATAGAGCGAGAGAGGGAGAGAGGGAGAGAGAGAGAGAGAGAGAGAGAGAGAGAGAGAGAGAGAGAGAGAGAGAGAGAGAGAGAGAGAGAGAGAGAAGAGAGAGAGAGAGAGAGAGAGAGAGAGAGAGAGAGAGAGAGAGAGAGAGAGAGAGAGAGAGAGAGAGAGAGAGAGAGAGAGAGAAAAGAGAGAAAGAGAGAAAGAGATAGAGATAAACAGTTAGGAAAAAAAGACGACAGAGAGAAAAACAAACAAACGAGACAACGATATCAGAGATTCAGAAAAAGCGATTGCGAAAAGCAGAAAAAAATGAAATAGCCCCCCCCCAAAAAAAAAAAAAATCAATAAAAGAGACTTCTCAATCACATCAAAAAGGAAAATAAAACACAGATCAACAGAATTTCGCCTTTAAGAATAAATAAAAAAGGCAAACCAACAAACACATAATCGACTTTATATACCAAGTTCATACTTATACACAGGACGTCTTCTCATTCATTAATAATTACATCCCCGTATGTATGAATGGATAAGCGTTATCTTATCCATTTCTTATTTCTTATCCATTATCTCATTTTATTTCTCCTCCTCCTCCCTCTCTCCCTCTCTCTCCTCCTCTCCCCCTCTTCTCCCTCCTCTTCTCCCCTCCTCCTCCTTCTCCCTCTCCTCCCTCTCCTCTTTCTCCTCCTCCCTCCCTCTCCCCTCCCTCTCTTTCCTTCCTCTCCTCCCTCTCCTCTCCTCCCTCTCCTCTTTCTCCTCTTCCTCCCTCTCCTCTATACAATAGTGAATGGGACAGCTGCACATGTCTGGGACACGCCTTGGTCGTCAATTAGTTTGAAGGTCGCCACGATCCTACCTGATATCAATCTTTCATTGAGTGGACCATTGATGGGGATGGTTATCTTATAATCATTGTTATTTTTACCATTGTTTATTATCATTCTCATTATTAATGGTTATCTTTATAATCATTATTGTTATTTTTACCATTGTTTATTATCATTCTCATTATTAATGGTTATCTTTATAATCATTATTGTTATTTTTACCATTGTTTATTGTCATTCTCATATTAATGGTTGTATACCATTGTTTATTCATTCTCATTATTAATGGTTATCTTTATAATCATTATTGTTATTTTTACCATTGTTTATTATCATTCTCATTATTAATGGTTATCTTTATAATCATTATTGTTATTTTTACCATTGTTTATTATCATTCTCATTATTAATGGTTATCTTTATAATCATTATTGTTATTTTTACCATTGTTTATTTCATTCTCATTATTAATGGATCATTATTGTTATTTTTACCATTGTTTATTATCATTCTCATTATTAATGGTTATCTTTATAATAATTTTTGTTATTTTTATGATTGTTGTTATTTTTATGTTCATATTATCATTCTCATTATTAATGGTTATCTTTATAATCATTATTGTTATTTTTACCATTGTTTATCATCATTCTCTTTATTAATGGTTATCTTTATAATCATTATTGTTATCTTTACCATTGTTTATCATCATTTTCATTATTAATGGTTATCTATATTATCCTTGTCGTTATCAAGGGATATCGTTATTATCGTTATTGACACTGATAATGATGATAATAAAGAATAGAAAAAAATGTTAATCAGGGAATAGTTGATAATAATGATACTGATAACAAGAGAGAAAATATATCAATTGAATTAGAAAATGAGGTACGTTAAATTATTATATTGCAATAGATAAATCAGTTGATCATATCAGAGGATTGGATAGATTAATAATTGCACCATGAGATTAGATAAATTAATATTTTATCTATTGGGAAATTAGAAAAGAAATATTAGATTTATCAAAATTAGAAATATTAGATAAACATATAAAACAATTAGATAAATCAATTGAAAAATCTTTCACTGACCGCTGGGTATACGCTGAGAACCTGCGCCTGCATGGTCCAGTCGACACGTGCCCCGCCGGCGTAGGGGCACGGGGTCGACGTGCCCTCGAGCCACGCGCACCCGTCAGTGTCAATGCCAGGCCAGGGCACGTTGACGCCTGCGATGCTCGCTGAGGCACCGATGGTCAGGCTGGTGGAGGGCTGGCCTGGGGAGGGAAGGAGGGAAGGGGTAGTTTGGTGGGGGTGAGGGAGGGAGGGGAGGAGGTGGAGGAGGGGAGAGGTGGGGGTGAGGAGGGGAGGGGGGGGGGGAAGGAGGAAGAGGTGAGGAGGGGAGAGGGGGGGAGGGAGGGGAGAGGTGAGTTGGTGGAGTGAGGGAGGGAGGGAAGAGGAGGGAGGGAGGGAAGAGGTGAGTTGGAGGGGTGAGGAGGGGGTGAGGGAGGGAGGGATGGGGAGTGATGAGGGGGGGAAGGATTAAAGGTGAGGGGGGAGGGAGGGAAGGGAGGGAGGGAGGGAGGGAGGGAAGGGTGAGGGGAGGGGGGGGGGGGTATACGGGAATGAGGGGGTTATAAGTGAGGGTGGGGTAGGAATGATGATGATGATGTTAATAGTAATAATATCATCATTATTATAATTGGTAATAAATCATAATGATAATAACAATGATAATAAAATGATGACAACGATAATGACAATGAAGATAAAAATGATGATAATGATAATAATCATCATCATCATCATAATTACCAAAGATATAATTACCTCAAAGATATGGATCAATATGATAATGATGGCAATAAATATAAACATTGCATTGAGTATATAAGTATACATGCACACAAAGAGAAATTAGTGAGTAGTTGATCTTATTGTAAAGACATGTACAAAAAGAAGATAATTGAAGAGAGAAAGAGAGAGGGGGGGGGGGGGCGCTAGAGAGAGACAGTGATGGAGAGAGAGAGGAGAGGAGACAGAGAAGAGAGAGAGAGAGAAGAGAGAGAGAGAGAGAGAGAGAGAGAGAGAGAGAGAGAGAGAGAGAGAGAGAAGAGAGAGAGAGGAGGAGAGAGAGAGAGAGAGAGAGAGAGAGAAGAGAGAGAGGAGAGAGAAAGAGAGAGAGAAAGCGAAGAGAAAGAGAAAGAGAGAGAGAGAAAAGAAAGAAAGAAAGAAAAAGAAAAGAAAAAGAAGTAAGAGAGAGAGAGGAAAACAAACACACAATCACACAATCACAAACAAACAAACAAAAAACACACACAATCCTACTCACTTGCAGTAAATATGAAATTCACAGCGTAAGACCTTCCACGCTCCAAGAGGCAGGGCAAAGTGTCGCAGTCTTCGAGGTTGAGCACCACATCAGAAGCCACAGATCCTGAAAAGATTTGTTGATAAATAAGACGAAACAAAATAATACAGATACTACTGCTGTTACTACTACTGTTACTATTACTACTTTTGCTGACTACCTTACTACTACTACTTGCTACTACTACTACTACCACTACTACCACTACTACTACTACTACTACTTACTCACTACTACTGCTACTACTACTATTACTACTACTACTACTACTACTGCTTACTACTACTGCTACTACTACTACTTACTACTACTATTGCTAACTACTTATACTTGCCACTGCTACTACTACTACTAACTACTACTACTACTATGTTCTACTACTACGAACTACACTACTACTACTACGACGACTATTGCTACTACTTCTACTACTGCTACTCCTACTACTACCACTGCTACTATTTCTACTACTGCTACTACTCACTACTACCACTGCTACTATTTCTACTACTGCTACTACTACTAATTCCACTACACACGTGCTACTACTAACTACTACTCCAAACCACTGCTGCTGCTACTACCATCACTACAACTATTAATAATAAATAAAACAACAAGTTAGATCTAAAAATAAAGTAAGTTGATAAAAAATGCAAAAAAGAGAGAAAAAAACGTAACAAAATACATCTAAGAGAGGTACTTAAATATGAACTAATATAGAATAATAAATATCACAGTTTTTTTTATACCGGACTGTGAATATTTTTCTTTAGGTTAACTAACCTTTCATCGTCTATATAGGTCTATATTTCTGTATTCTGCACTTCATATCAACATCAATATGTTATGTAGCTTTTTTTTTTATCAGAGCTAAGCATTTTCCATACTCTAAATACACAGTAGTTCTGTTTTCCACACCAAATCAAGTAAAGTTATTTTGTATAGGTTAGCTTCTTATACTGCTGTTAACCGCTGTTACTTATTATCTGTCTAAATCAGTAAGTTTACCTTTGTTCTATATTCATGTATATAGGTCATATACTTCTCTGTATCATAATCAAAGTAGTTTCTTCATATGTCTATATAAAATGCCAATTCTACACTATACTCACGATCAAAACTAAACAGGCCTATGATTATTCATTCTATATCAAAATCACAAGTAATTCTCGTCTATATCTGAGCCTTTATCAGTGCAGCGTAACTAAAATCTCTTATTCTTCTATCTCTATTTTCGTGTCAATTCTAAGTAGTCTCAGCTATACTCAGGTCGTCTCCTTATTATGCAACTCTCTACTTCGTACGATCCACTCTCCTCCTCTACTCTTCTCGTCTGTCTCACATACTTGCTTTTACTACATCGCTCACTCTCATAACACTAACAAATATATACTACATTCTCTCATTCTTCCTCTACTACTAACTTTTCCTACCTTTTCCATTCTCTATATCTCAGTATAGGTAATATCGATTATCTCCAATATTGTATAATTACATAACTACAAAAAAAAAAAAAATATATATAGATTACACAATTTACAATCCTTCTCATGTTTATGTTTTCGGACGATCGCGATCTAAACAAGGGAACTTTTATTCCAATCGCGCCAAAGAGGCTAATTGAATATCTGGGTCCTGGATCTACACGTGCACTCAACATATCAAGCTATTCAATCCAAACCACATAGACCATATGACTCACCTACATATAGTTACGAGAGGACAGATTTATGAGCTATCAGACTATAATCTCTCAACATCATCAAATTCATATATCACAAACCTTATCTCATATCAATGATTAGATAGTTATGATTTATAAACTTTACAAAGGGAGAATAATACAAATGCATGAAATACAATTACAAATAAATGTCAAATTAGATTCTAAATCACTTCGATAACTCAGCCAGATGCATAAGAACTCTAATTACTCAACTCGCAATGTATCTTACGTTCCTTATGTTTACTTATCTCTCTGAATTGATTGACTGAATCTCAATGATATTCTATTCTCTAGATCCTATAAATTATGGGTATACAATGAGGATTCATAATTAAGAATGATGAATTATAAATATTGATGAACTCTGTAAATGTCAACAGCTTAACAGATGAATAATAACTTGATAACCTGGGCCAAATCAATGATCATTTGTTATTAATAGGATAATAGAGTGAGTGAATGATTGATGAATGATGTATTGATTACCACTGATGATGACGGATGAATGATGGAGTGATGTGAAGATGAAATTGATGAATGATAACGATGATGGAGTGATATGTACGAGCGAATGAGATAATGAGTGATGATCGAGATCGAATCAGAATAATTAAATTAATAGCTACTCATATATAGTGTAATAAACCTCAATGCAACAACACAGACGCAATAAACAGCACCACGCAATTACTATCTTAATTCAAGAATAATCTGAAGAGGCGTTGCAAAGGTATAGCGCGTAATGACAAGAGATAAGAGATCAGAGTCTCTCTGAAGTGCTCTTTCGATAGACGCTACCACAATGTGCATACGGAACAGTAGGGTGTAAATGAAAGGGTAGTTAGATATGTTTAGAAGAGGATGCAGAATGTGTCTCTATGTTTGCTCACAAAAAAGTGGTTTTGTCGCATTTTCTACTCCCAGTGTATATGAGATGTGAGTGAGCAGAGAAATCGAAGAGAAGGGCATTCAGTTAGCTGTATATATACACGCCTGATTAAAAGATATCTCCTTTGTGCTCCTCAAGCTAGAAGTTATTCAGAGTTGAATTCAAAGATCACAAGCGTGAGAGGAATCATCATTTAGAGCACCTATATGATCGTGAGTGTTTTCCGTCGTGTGGTTTTTCGAGCCAAGAAGAGTGTATGCGCGAGATATGGATAAAAAGATGACAAGGAGTTTACCCTATGGGAAAATATGTTTAGTGTTTGTTGGTAAATATATATTTGAAATGATTTATATGATCCCCGACTTCAGGTTCCATGAATGGACATGGAAATTTATTTTATATTTTGTTTTGAATTTGTGTTTGAGTGTTATGTTGTGACAAATTCATTGTTTTATAGCGTTACAGTTTTTATTAATGTTATGTTGTTGAGCGCGAGGTTAGTTTGTAGGACTCTATCATAGTAAAATAGATGGATGTAGTGTATCTGCTAATGACCTACCAATGCGTCAGTGGAGATATAGTTTCCCTAGGAATGTAAAATAGGGTTCCAATGACAGCAGAAAAGAGACTAATCTATTATATAAGAAAGGAATTCCAAGATCCATTTGTGTGTCTTGAGTGTGCAACCCTGACCAGCATGAGGAATGTAGTTGCTAGAATGAGCGACGCCAAGACTTATATAGCGGGCGACGTCTGAAATATCATGTGTGTTGAGAAGAGGATGCAGAAAGGGCAGTTAAATATGTTGAATGTTGAGAAGAGAACGCAAAAAGAGCAGTTAAATATGTTGAGTAATGATAAGGGGGCGCAGACAAGGCAGTTAAATGTTGAATGAGAAAATTTAAAAAGGGCAAGTGGATATGTTGAGTGTTGAGAAGAGGACGCAGAGAGGGAAGTTAAATATGTTGAATGTTGAGGTCCTGGACTTTCAGGTTACACAATGTGAGGTTTATGATGAAGATTCAATTAATTATGAAAAATTGTCTCTAAAGAGGAAGGGCTACTAATGGTGAACTATAATGTCTTAAAATGTATTCTTAAAAGCAAGTAGAAAGACAGATAGGAAAATAGATCGATGGATAGATTTATAGGGAGAGAGTGGGGGGAGAAAAAGAGAGAGCGAGAGAGAGAGGAAAGAGAGAAAGAGAGAAAGAAAGAAAGGGAAAGAGAAAAAGAGGGAGAGAAAGAGAAAGAGAGAAAGCTAGAGACAGACAGGCAGACAGCCAAATAGATATAAAGACAAGACATATAAACAGATAAAGAGAAAACAAACTCAGTAAGTGCGAGAACCAGACCAACAGACCAAGAAACCTAACAGTACCTGAAAAAAATCGAGACTTGCGGGAAGTCCTCAGTCCTCAGCCTTATATATAGACGACCGGAGAAGTAGGGAGCGTTCAGAGCTCATGGGAAGAGAAACACGTGCGTTTTGGGGCTGTGGCGCCGCACGTGTTTCGTTCCCGAGACTGGAAAGAGAGAGATAGTAGAGACGAGAAAGGGTAAAGGGAAAGGGGAGGTGGGGAAGTGAGAAAGAAAGGTGGAAAAAGAGAAAGGGGGAGAAGGAGAGAGAGGGAGATGAAATCCTATATAAATTCCATGTTCATACAAATCCCGAACATTCTATTACCTCAGGAAATTGCTAATTATCACCTCTAAAATTCTGAGGTACCAAAAAATTCCAAGATTCCGAGACTCAAAATTCCCAAAATATACAAAATCCTAAGAATTTTGACATCCTAGGAAATTTTCGTATTTATAGAATCCGAAAACATCTGAAATGCCAGGAAATTCTCGTGTATGACAGATCTCGAAAAACTAAGATTTCAGATAATTCCCCTGTCTATGAAATTACTAAATTCTAAACCCTAAACACATTATCCCCGAAAAATCTTAGACCTCAGAAAATTCCCCTACATGTGAAATATTCGACAGAGAATTCCTCAAAAATTCCCCTACATATGAAATATTCAAACAGAGAATTCCTCAAAAATTCCCCTACATGTGAAATATTCGACAGAGAATTCCTCAAAAATTCCCCTACATGTGAAATATTCGACAGAGAATTCCTCAAAAATTCCCCTACATGTGAAATATTCGACAGAGAATTCCTCAAAAATTCCCCTACATGTGAAATATCAACAGAGAGAATTCCTCAAAATTCCCCTACATTGTGAATATTCGACAAGAATTCCTCAAAAACTACATGAAAATATGCGACAGAGAATTCCTCAAAAATTCCCTACATGTGAAATATTCAACAGAGAATTCCTCAAATTCCCCTACATATGAAATATTCAACAGAGAATTCTCAAAAATTCCCCTACATGTGAAATATTCGACAGAGAATTCCTCAAAATTCTCCCTACATCTGAAATATTCAACAGAGAA